CTCCTCCTCCTCCTCCTCCTCCTCCTCTTCCTCGACTCGACTTGGCCTGACGGCTTTCCTTTCGCGTTGAAGTGAATGTCGAAGGGATTCGCAGGTCCCATGCGACGAACATCCTCAGAGCTTCAATGAAGAAGAATGAGTCGCAGCTCCGATGCTGTGCGTCAACCGTTGGCGCATGTCTCGTGGGCATCAACCCGAACGTCGTGTTGATACCAAATGGCTGCACAAGACCGCGGACCGGACCTGATCTTCCGTTCAAATCTCTTCAGCATGTACTTCCACACGAAAGCAACATCCCCACGTGAAGCTTAGCTCATGAGATTCGTCGAAACCTGCATTTTCTTCGAATCGCTTCGCAGTTCGGTTGGCCTGACTTGACCTCACTTCTCGTTGATATTATGCGATGTAAATGACATTTATTATTAGTAAATCCAATGACAAATTGGCAATTGAAAAATCAATTGTTGCATAATTGTCTGGCAAATTGTCATTTTGTGTCCGAAGTGTGCAATGAATGCCACCAGCAGACTATGACCGGCCGATTGGATCTTGCGGATGCTGTTTCAGAGGCAATCTGCTCCAATTCTGGTGACAAGCAGCATCGTATGACGCATGTCATCAAACCAACAAAGACACCCTCCTTGCAACCACATTCAAGCTGAGGCCTGAATAGAACTATCTCGAGTTGACACGTGGCAACACTGACTCTCGACCTGTGCATGCTTACACGCTGAACATGTTGCCTAAATCTAGGCTTTTCGATAATTCATATTCGTATGTGAGTAGGGTTTCGAGACTACCACCAAATCAGTGTAATGAGATGTATTCACCCAATTTCGTTTGAGGTGATGAAGGACTGATGGTAGAATTTTCCCACAATCATATGAGTTGAGCTGACGTTTTCATTCAATTTCACATTGCCTTGCTTTCCAAAAAGTTGTTCTCATTCAGGTGGGATTGTCGATGAAGCAAACGTATATTTGCTATAACAATCGAATGCATTACTTTATTTTTCGAATTAAGTATTGTTTTCGTGACTATCAGTAAATCAGTAGTATGACATGTATTCACCCAATTTCGTCTGAGGTGATATGAGTTGAGTTGACGTTTCCCTTGAATTACATATAGCTTTGTTTTCCCAAAAGTTGTTCTCATCCCAGCTGGA